GTATAGCATTGATCATACATATTTGGTTTCTGCTATTCTCTGCTCATAATGATTGCTTACTGTTCAAATGATGAATATGAATAAAGGGTAGTAATTGTAACTTCTATAATCATTTAATAACTTGAATCCATGGCTCAATGGAGATATAGACACACACACACACACACACACACACACATATATATATATATATACATATATGAAGGAATTATATGGACTATTTTATTAATCATTACATCATTATGCTGACAATACCTCCTTCTAACAACAGATCTAATCACTTCACCATGAGTCATAATTAGGATGACTATGATGAAGAGCTCATCATCTGGGCCAATATTGTGGCTGAATAAAATGTTTGATTAAAAATGTACTATGTGTGCTAAGGGAAATTCTATTGGCATTATCTACATTTCTGTAATTTGTTTCTTGAGTGACTGATTTGGGCCTAAAGAACAAAGTCTTTTCCACTCACACAACACTCTATACCACTCTGGTTTATTCATATGTATTAACAATTATTTACCTTTAGTAGCTGATTGTGTCAATTACTATGACATTCCTGTCTTAGTTGCTTTTCTATTGCTGTGAGAAGACACCATTACCAAGGAAACTTATAAAAGAAAGTATTCAATTTGGAGGTTTACTTACAGTTTGAGAGTGTGAGTCCATGACCATTATAGCAGAAGCTTGGCTGCAAGCAGGCTGTCATGGCACTGTAGAAGTAGTTGAGAGTTCACATATCTATAAGTTGCAGCCAGAAAGAGTGAGACTAGGTCTGACATCTGTTTTTGAAAACCTAAAACCCATCCACAGTGACACACCTCCTTCAGCAAGGCAACGTCTTAATCCTTCCTAAATAGCAACTATGGACTAAGTAAAAATATATGAGAAGACCATTTCCTTTTTTCATACATGATTGCATAGTTTCAAACAGTGTTGTGCTCTTAAACTAATGATAACACTAATCGAAGCCATCATTTTTGATTCCTTACTTCCACACTCTGTGTTAATTAGTTAGATATACAACCATCTGCTCATGATATTAGTATTAGTGTTTTATAAATGAACAAGCTCAGTCACAAAGTGGTTAAGTAATTTACCCACTCACCAAAATTGCAGAATTTATACCAGTGAAACTGGGTTTTAAACTGAGATTAAGATTTTAGCTACTGTGACTTTCACAGAGTAGATGTTCAATTAGTGGTTGTTGTTTGATAAAATTTTATAATTCAACTATCTCTAAATTATAATTATGTTAGTCTTTCAAAATAACTAGTGATCGTTAACCAATAATAAAACAAACATCTCCTTAATACAGAATGCTGCTGAGAATAAACGAGTCAGACAGACAACTGAAACCAGTGTCTGCTTTATGTTACATTGGAAGCTGAAAATAGCTACCACAACTAAGTCATTTTTTCAAAAGGAAAATCTCCAAGACAGCTTCACATAGCAGTATAAAAAATGAACAAGCTTAAAATACTTTAGATACTTTAAGTGCTAAATACAGAGAAGATGCCTGAGGTAGATGTATCTCTAGGGGAATGAAATAACTTTTAAAATGAAGCTCAGACCCTATCTCATGCAGTTTTAATGCAAGCCTTTGACAATTCAAGACTTCATAGATCACTCAGAGTGTATTCTTTATGATTCTCAGTAAATTCTGACAGCATCATAGATACTTATTGGTTGAGCTGTGGCAAATATGATGTTTCTTCTTTAACATTCATATTATATCTCTGCTAACACTGCAACTAAGTATATACAAATTCTTCTCTATGAAAGTCATGATTCTTAGTGTAGAAGGAGATGATATATTGTTTGGATGCTACAGTTACTATATTATCTATGTTGTGATTTCTATTCACTTTTATAGACTCTTATTTCTTATGAAGCAAAAAAATATGTTTATCATGGCAATCTCTCCCTAACTAGCCTGGTAAATGAACCAGTGGGCAACTATGTAGACTTTGTTGAACTTTTCACATGAAGAGGGGAGAAACTGTTGATTCTTTTCTTTTATTTACGCATAAGATTATCTCCTAGTAGCTAATGCAATTATAGATTTTATAATTCCACCAGGAAAAAATGCAAAGGTTTTGACTAACAATAAAATCAATACAAACACTTCAGTGTACAAATACATTTTTGAGAACTTACTCTATCAGAGAAATTTATTAGGAAATGAAGCATCAATTAGATAATTTTCATCTATTCACAAATTTTAATGAATATGTGAAATCACATACATCATGAAATTATCCTACTGCTTATTGTAACAGTGTATCTGACCTTAAATGAAGTAACGTATGTCTATATCTAAGGTACATAATGTATTAAACTCAACAGAGTACTCAGGAAGTCTGTGAAATATCCCTGAATGTAATGTGTTTCCACACAAGAAATAATCTAATTTAAAGTCAATATTGCAATACTATTCTTTAACTGGTGTTTACAGGAAATTATCTTAGCTTTTAGCTTTCACTTGAGATCTATGCTACTTATGCACAATTAGGAGTGTTTTTGAAAACCTTTTTCCTAAAACTTTACACTTGTTATTTAATTTTTTATAGATACAGTTTATCATAGTTTCATCTATTATGAAAGCTGGAAAGCCACAAATTTAGCAATCTGATTGCATTTTAAGACATGTATTTTTTCCATAAAATAAGAAAGATCATTTTTATTCTTTTGCTCATTTTGATAATCATTATATTGCTTTTGTGTTCATTTTGCAAACATCTACAAACTTTAATAGATAGAATACCACAACCTTAGCCAGATTTTCCCATTTTACAAGTAAAACATGTTAAGATGATCTGTAATGTAATGTGATATCAGAGACAGTTGCATACATCTTGGCAACAAACAAACAGAAAATATATTTATGTTAACAATTAAAAATGAAAGCACCCTGGATGAAATGACAGACAGATCTTCCCTGGAGGACCTCACCCTCCCTGTGGATAGGAGTGGAGATTGGGTGGGGGCTGGAGGGCCTGATGGGGGGGAGGCAGGGAAGAGAGAGGGAGCTGGGATTGACATGTGAAGCAAGCTTGATTCTAACTTAAATTTAAAAAGGAAGAAGAAATGAAAGCAATGTTTTATCTAAAATTCAGTATTTTCACAAATGTAGACATATCTGTCATATTATGTGTGTTGTTGTCATATAAAAAGAACATTTCAGGGCAAGACTGGAATTTTAAATAAACCAAAAGGATAATATGTTATTAAGATGTACTCAATATCATCCATGGTTTCTAGTAATAAGCCGGTAATTTTTTATTGCACATAACAATTTACTCATAGCCCATATTAAGAAACTTTTGTTCTTTTTCAATTTCTTTAGATTATATCTATCTTCTAAATGCTCTATTATTTAATTTCACTATATATTATTACTTTCTAAAATGTTTCAATTTAAAATTGGAATCTCTGAAAGAATCATGTCATATTCATTTAATCCAGATTTCTCAGTGTTTTTCCTTTGCCAAGCAACTGCAGTGTTTTATTATTCCATGATTTCCCACTACCTCTTTTTGTTCTTATCCCATAGATAGCATGTTTTCACCTCCCTGAAACTCAGTCTAGTCCCTCCAACCTCCCACACCTGCTCTCTCTCTCAGAATCACTCCTCCTAAATTTCCCTTCAGAAAGTAACAAGCCTCCTGGCAAAGGAAACAAACATGTCATATCACGTCCTAATGAGACTGGGCACATACCTTCATATCAACGCTGGATGAGGCAAACCTACATGAGGAAAGTGTTCTCAAAAGCTTGAGAGTGTCAAAGACCCTGCTCCCATTGTTAGGTGTCCCACAAGAAGACCAAGCTACACAACTATACCGTATGTGGAGAGGACCTAGTGCAGACCCATAGTGATGTTGTGGTTGTCTCTTCAGTCTCTCTGGGCCCCTATAATCTCTGCTTAGTTAATTCTGTGGGCTCCTTTTCTCCTGGTATCCTTGACTTCTAAAATTCTTAACTCATGTTGTTCTTGAACATAAAAAGGGAAAAAAGATTGACCCACAGTGACTAAAGTTACTATGTGAGCAACATGAATTCTTTATAAGAATGTCTATTATATAATAAATGAAAGTGATTGATGGGAGTAACAGTGATTATTGCTTTATTAGTATTTCTATAATAGATATAATCTTTGACATCATTACTAACATCATTAAATATACTGCACATCTTGTGTTTATTTACTGTGATTTTTTGATTTCTAACAGGTTTGCTGAGGAACTTTTGCATTGTTGTACAATGGAAAAAGATCCAAGACAAAAGTAGAGGAAAGGAGACTTTAGAGATTATAAATAGTTGGAAATATTGACATATAGTTCATTTGTTTATAGTATCTTTATGCTTTAAAATTCAGAATAAATCTGTAAAGATAAATGATGTAAAAATCACTTGAACCTTGTAGTATTAATTAACATACCTTCTGAGGGACATTAGAAAGAAAAAATCTTAAATAAATTGAATCCTATGAGTTGATCATGATAGTCTTAAACATTTAGTTGAACTGAAACCACCAAAGTTATTGATTTAACATTCAAAAATCTTGTCATATAAATATTCTCTATGTTGGTTTGCAATTCACGATTTTCCAATGAAATTATTTCATCCAGTTTTAAACAAGAAATGTGTTAATATGTGATTTAAATATCTAATTACTCAAAATTTGGAGGGATATATGTGTTATCAATTGAGCATATGTAAGGGGAAGTGAAATTTTTACTATAAATGTTGACAGAAATTTTAAAAATTAATCAGAAATATTATATAGTTGTTCATGTTGTTACATGAAAATTTATGGTACAGGTATATTTGTTTGCTCCAAATATCTTTAACAGCAGAGCAAATCTGTTTTCTATCTACTGGAAATATTGACATATTTTTGTAAGAAATAAAACCTGTATGCAATAATTACATTAGAACTGATTTTTATCTTTCTTTTTGTTTTGTTTTGCTTCCATCTTATCCCAAACCAGCGGAGATCTGAAGGGAAAAAGGCAGGAAAGGTAAGAGTGTAATTTTAAAAACTATTTTAAGACATGTTGTATTTTTATTTAATTGATTCACCTCAGCTTTTGCTCCATTAAGTTAAAACTACAAGTATTTAATATGACATATATGATGGTTCTGCCTTATTAGAATTTCATATTGAGTTGTTACAACACTCTCTATTACTTGCATAGATCTAGATCCAGGTTTTATTTTTGTATTAACCAATATTTTACTTTCTCACTGTTCAAAAACAACATACTCTTGGCAGCTTAAGTTTGTGAATATCTTGGTAATATACATTTTGTATGATAAATGTTAGCAATAAAAAGGATTAATTTTCTATCAATTCTCATTTTAGCAGAGATCACAGAAAATTAGTGACTACAAATTATGAAACTCTGGTAGCCTCAATTAGAATAAAATTAAAACTAACCTACTCATGGAAAATCAGCAAAATGTTACTCTTTGAGAAACCTCTCTGTAGAATATCATCTTTTAATGTGAAATTTTTAATTCTGAAATAGATATGAAAGTTCAATGTTCTAAGTGATGTCAACTTTCCATAATTCATAAAAGAAAATAAAACCTAATTAGCACATCCTACAAAATTTAATTCCTTCTCTATCTAAATAGTATTACCACTAATATTACATATCTTTTCTGTTAAATGAAAAACTTCCTAGCATTACACCTTGGGTTTCCTATATTTTCAGACTGAATGATTAATATTAATATTAAACTGCTGATAGATGATATTTCATTAAGCCAGTAACAACTATTCATTTGTAGCATCAGCATCTGGATGTTTCTACGTATAGGTTGAATGTATATAATCTTCAAAATGAACTATTACATTGTAATTTCATGTGTTACATTTGACTTTGAAGAACTAGCTGAAAGATAAACAGGGCTCCGCCATAAAGTCATCCACTACATCTGATGCCTTTACATGTTTTTATTAAGTGTGAGAACTACCTGGAAAATGAATTTTATAGAATGTCAAAATGAATTAACATTAATGTTTGAAGGGAAAATAAACAGACAGCTTCATAGCTATAAATCAATATACTTTCCCCAGAGTTGACAAATATCCTTATGAACCATCCTTAAGATCACTATGACCTTGGAGTGTTGCAATTTTGAAAGTTAATAATGGAGTTATTCCTTTAAACAAAAACTAAAAATAGTAGTTAATAAAATGCCATGACTTCAAATGAGAAAATAGTGATAGGAAAGGAGAAAGTAGTAACTTTTAAAAGTTTGCAGATACGGGGTATTCTAATGTTAGCAACAATTATTGTGAATTTGAATGTAAGACCATTAATAATTTATTTTTAGTTTTTAATTTTGGAAACTAGTAAGTGTCTTTGTAAAGGATATTTTGCCATGTGAAAACAAAAGTAACTTAAAAATAGAAGATATTCTTTGGAAGACTGTTACAAATTTCCATAGCCTTAGAAATTTGCAAGGTGTCTACAAACAATGGAATTGTTTGCATTTTCCTGGGTTAGATGAGACCAACAGAGATATAAAGACTCTATAAGCAGACTCTTAAGCAGAACCTGTACTAAAAAGAAGCATTCAGTGCAGTCCAAAAAATGTTGCATCAGTTGATTGGTTAGAACAGATGATGTGGACATATCTCATTATTTTCAGTCGTTTCTCAGTGTTGTGATCATGGTAAGTACAGGATTCAACATGAATTAGGAAAAACAAATTGAGTTTAGTTAAAAAATAAACAAATTTTAAAAAATTATTTAAATTAAAAACAATCTTATTTTATTTACCAATCCCAGTTCCTTCTCCCTTCTGTCTTCCCACTCACCCCACAATTATCCAATCCCACCCCCATCCATTCCACAGAGAGGGCGAGGCCTCCCATTTGGTGATCATCATAGTCTGTCACATCATTTGTTGCAGAACTGAAACCATGCCCCTTGTATCTAGGCTGAGAAAGTACCTCTACATATGGAATGAGCTGCATAAAGCCAGTTAATTCACTAGGGATAACTACTGGTTCCACTCCCAGTAGCCCAATAGACACTCCCAGTAGCCCAATAGACTGCCAACTCCCCCAATTCACACTTACATTGAGGGGGCCTAGTTCAGTCTTATGCAGGTTCCCTAGGTGTCAGTCTGGAGTCAGTGAGTTCCTACTTGCTCAAGCCAGTTGTTTCAGTTAATTTCCCCAACATGATCTCCACCATTTTGCTCATCACTTCTTTCTCTCTCCAACTGGATTCCAGGAGTTCAGCTCAGTATTTACCTGTGGGTGTCTGCTTCTGCTTCCATGAGCTACTGGATGAAGGCTTTATGAAGGCATTTAAAGTTTCTCAGGAAAATGGGAATCATTGTACCACAAGACTCAGCAATTCCAGTCTTAGACATATACACAAAGGATGTACACTCATACCACAAGGACATCTGTTCAACTGTGTTCAAAACAGCATTACTGATGATAGACAGAACCTTTAAGCAACCAGATTCCCCCATTCGGAGAATGGAGAAAGAAAAAGTGGTACATTTATACAATGGAGTTCTACTCAGCGGGAAAAAAATGACACTTTGAAATTCAAAGGCAAATGGATGGAAATAGAAGAAGCCATCCTGAGTGGGATAACCTAGAAACAGAAAGACAAACATGTTATATACTCACTCATAAGTGGATATTAAACACAGAACAATGAATAACCAGTCTACAATTCACAACCCCAGAGAAACTAGAAAACAAAGAGCATACAATGAGAAACATACATGTACACTTCCCTCTCCAAACCCCACCTGCCCCAGAAGGGGAAGGGAAAAAGATCTCCTTAGTAAATTGGGAGCATGGAGGAGGGATAAGGAGGTAGGAGAGAGACTACTGGAAATGGGGAGGTAGGAAGAACATGAGGGATCAGGAATGAATGCAGGGAAACAGATACCCTGAAAGAGGGAGCCATTATTGGGTTATTGAGAAACCCAGAAGTAGGGAAATTTCCAGGAATCCACAAGGATGACCCCACCTAAGCATCTAAGCAATAGTGGAGAAGTTACCTTAAATACCATTTCCCAATAATGAGATTGATGACAGCATTAATCAATGCACCATCTTAAAATGGGTAATTATGAATGTTTGAACATTTTTTCTATTAACTTTCCCCACATTCCCAAATTAAGAAGGAGCGTGTATCTGCTAATACACTGATTTATTTCCAATCATTATATAAGTGTGTACACATATATATGTGTTTGTGTATATGTATATAAAACAATTATAATATACATATGAATCTGTACAACTATATATATGAGATGTTCATATATAAATATAGAAATAGACCTTATAATACTTTTTATGAGTTGGAAGCCCCATTATGGCCGAGGAAACAGTGTAACAAAGAATTTTAGGGACTAGCATAAGGCTATTGGCTCACAAGACATGAGCCAGGGTTTGAATTTGAGAAATCTCTTTCCAACAAAGCTTTCAAATGACGAATGGGAAAAGCTTGGTATTATGAATGAAACTTATCACATAATAATAAAAAATGCTTTAGTTGAATTTCAGTAATTGCATTTAATATGTCCATATGATATTGTTTTGGTATGGTGGAAATTTAATGGTGTTCAATTAATAATTATTTTAAAAAATTTCTGAAGCTAGAGAGATGACTCAGTAGTCTAGTTTTCATATGGCTCTTACAGAGAACTGGAGCTGAGTTCTCAGAAGTCAAGTCAAATGGCTCCCAATTGACAGCTTCAGAGAATCTGAATCTTCTAGGATCTGTTGACAATGCAGCAATGCAATCATGTACACATACCCCCTCACACACACACCACACAGAGACACAGTGTGAGTGACAAAGAGAGAGAATTATATATAAAATTGATTGGTAGTGGACAATATTTATTTGCAAGTTCTTTATAATAAATATTTTAATTTTAAATAATAAAATATTTGCAAATATTTCTGTTCATTATTAGACAAGAAATGCATAAGTAAAGTTGTTTCGCTATTCTATTACACATATCTTGATATAATGTGGTTACCATTCACTGTAGAAGTGAGATCTGTCCTCTGATGTCCTTTGTTTTAGGTCCATTGCATTTATGTATGCATTTGAAGGGTATATTTGATGTTAAATTTGAGAAGCTATAAACCTTAAATATATTAAGTGTCAGAATATTCATTAACTTTGAATTTATAGCATTTTTCCATAAAAGATCAATTAATCTCTTGCATCCCTGAACTTCACCTATTTAGATATTTTAATGAATTCTAAACTATATCTTTTATGTTCTATTTAATTCAGATACCACATTCATAAAAATTAAGAACAATACATTATCTTAGCTAAGAACATAATACCTCCATGAATGGTTTATTGTCTTTTCAGTTCTAAAACATAAAAGAAAAAGAGAGCCTTTTAATGATTTACTTAGGTTTTAAATTTAAGTAGTTTAAGAGACCTCACTAAATGACACCTATTTATACGTTTTAAATAGAGGTTTAACTTAGAGATCAGTCTTTGTGTCAATTCTTAAATATTTCACAGGTAATCTAGAGCATAGAAAACGGAAATGTCACATCCACAGTTCATTCACCTTTTAAATAGTTGATATTTGGGCAGCTAATAGCTACATACAAGGAAATGCATTTTAAAACACAGTCACTCTGACAGAAAAGATAGGAGAAACATTTACAACTATATAAAAGAAATACAATTTTTGTTGCAACCTGTTTGCTCATTTATTTAAAACATTCCTTTCTATAAGCGCTCACTAGTTGTTAGATTTAAACTGCTTGTTTTTTTCTTCCTTAGTAATCATTAACATGGAAGTTTTCACATAGATATTTTTGAGATCCCTCTTCTCTTTGGAAAAGTCTGTGTCTAAACTGCCCTGAGGCTTTTCACAAATGGCCTGACTTGTTAGATTTTATGTTCACCAAAGTGCTAAACTGAATATGGCAGAAACAGAACTGACTGAAATTCTCAAAGGATTATGTTTCTCATTTCTTTATATCTGCCTGAGG